GATTATATTTTTCTGAATTAGAGGAGTTGAAGAGTCCTTCTTTTGTGTACCTAGGAAACAGTAAGAGCCTAGAAAGGGGACAGTAAAGATTCAGAAATTAATAGATGGAGAATGGTGTGATACATACATAAAATCTGTTTTTTTTTTAAGTTAAAAGTCAAAATGACATTATGTTGGCAATACAATGTAAAATTGTCAATCTTTCAAATTTTTTATGTAGAAAAGGCTTGTGTTGCCAACATAGTTACTAAATTTTTGACTTGGGGAATTATCTTTAAAAAAAAAACAGACTTTACACAATATACTTTTCATTCCAGAGCTGAGAAAGAATCTTATTTCTGAAGGAGTCTTGACAAATAGGAAGATGACAAATGACAATAATCGAAGAAGGTAATACTGCAAGAATTTATGAAGAAGAAGACCTAGTAGCTATAGTACCATTCAGCAAGAATCGAATCACCTGTATAAAATGCTTATTTGTACAGTGTGCAACCAAAGTGAAGTTAGTGTTGCCGAAGAGGTTAACGACTCATTGGAAAACTGGTATGAGAGGCTTGGGCATATCAACAAGACATGATCACTAAAAATATAGCAAAAGGTGTAAAAATGAGTGAATTCGACAACTTTCAGTGCGAAGCTTGCATACTAGGTAAACAGCACAGAAAAAGTTTCAAGAAGTCAACACGAGCTCTTAAAAGTGCTCCTGGACAACTAGTGTATAGTGGCTTATGTGGACCCATAGCGACCCCTTCAGTATCAGGGGGGCGATTCTCCGGCCAGGGAGTAGAGCTCCCCGAGAGAACAAATTTTTCGTCTTTATCATTCTCGTTTACTTTTCGATTACGTTGACAAGGACAAAACATTCGTTCTATCGGGGAGTTCTACTCCCTGGCCTGAGAATCCGCCTGCAGGTGTTCGTTATATGTTGCTTTTCAAAGGCGGCCGGGTAGCTTATTTTATCATGCACAAAAGTGATACGTATGAGTACTTTGTTCAGTTTAACAGTTTAATCAAAACAAAATTTGGACACTCAGTGAATGCTGTAGACGTCGATAATGGTCGAGAACTGGAAGCTTATACATAAACAAAGAAGGCATTAGACTAGAAAGTATTGCACTATATACCCCGGAGCAGAATGGTGGATGGACGAGAGCGAAAACCGTACCATCATGGAAAGTCAATGCTTATTAGCGCAAATGCACCTCACTATCTCTAGGCAGAAGCAGCGAGTACTGCAATGCAATATACATCTTCTTGGAACATGCTAAAACATTTGGCTGTTTTCAATAGGTGAGTTCCAAAATCCAATCTATGAGCATCCCGTTGAAAATTTTGACAGTTTTGACAGTTATCTATTATCTATATACTCGCGAATGGATATTGGAATGCAAGGAATTTAACACTTTCCGTATGTCAGAACATACAAACTCAAACTAATTGACTTTATTGGGTAGGAAGACGATTCAAGAGCCTGGAATAGGCAAATTCTGAACTTAAACTTCAATGTCAGCTACTCAGAACTAACTCTGAATCAATATATTGACTCTAAGCCAGGAATAGACAAAACTTGAAATCAACATTTAAGAAGTCAGAACATACAAACTCTTTATTGGGTAGGGGGTGAAGCATATGGCAAAAACAGGTGTGAGTTCGGATGATCATTGGCGTTTTACATAGCGAGTCACCAGCTCACATTCCTCTGGAGTATCATATTAAAGACGACGGACTGTACGTATACACCTCAGATCAAAAGCGAACAAAACAAGAGCCAAAAAGTCATAAAATGATATTTGTTGGGTATGACAAAAGCTCAACAAATTACCGTTTGTATAATCCCATGAATAGAAAGATATATATTTATAAGTATTAGTAACATTTTATTTGACGAGAAAAACCAGGGGTTTGTTAACAAACAAGAAGAGATACCAGTGTTGATTGAATTCGAAAATGATGAAGAAGAGAATATCTGAATTCCACCTTTTCAAGAAGTACTTAGTAAGTTGTAATGACTCTGAAAAATGGAAGAATGCTATACAGAAAGAAATAAATGCTCTCAATCAAAACAAGACATGGATTTTACAAGATTTGCAAGACGACAGAAAGGCAATTGGATCAAAGTGGGTTTTTAAAGTGAAATTCGACTCTCAAAGGTAAAATCGAAAGATACAAAGAAATATTTCACCCACAACAAGGTATGATTCAATCAGAGTTGTTCTATCTGTTGCTGCACACAAAGGCTACAAAATCAAACAGTTTGACATCAAGAGAGCCTTCTTATATGGTGAACTTTCAGAAGAATATATATGGAGTTATCCGAAGGGTTCCCGAAGACTGACAAAGTGTGTAAACTAATGAAGTCACTATATGAACTCGAACAAGCACCCCGGTGCTGGAACCAAAAATTTGACAGCGTTCTAAGACAATTTGCTTTCGAACAATGCCAAGCTGACAAATGCATCTGTCGAGGTACAGTTCAAGAACATACAGTTTTGCTCATTATGTTGACGACGGACTACTAATGTCAAGCTATGAGACTGCATCAGAAACTGTTCTTACTGAGCTGCAGAAATGCTTTCAGATTAAGGTGAGCAACGTTAGCAATTTTGTAGGACTAAAAATAATAGAGAACAAACAGAAAAACTCTATTTTTATTCATCAAACAAGTTACATAAACAAAACTATTAACAAGTCAGAAATGAGTGATGCAAACTCATTGCAAATACCAGCTGATCCACACACTGATTTAACAAGAAATGATACCGATATTAATTTTGAAAGTCCTATCGAGAGTGTGTTGGTTCATTGATGTTTGCAGCTATAGTATCAAGACCGGACATTCCCTATTCAGTGGGATTTGCTAGTAGATTCTTAATGGAATGCAGTAAAAAAAATCATTCGTCACTTGAAAAGCACACCAAGCTATGGAATGGAGTACAAGAGAGAACCAGACCACAATTTAATTGGTTTTTGTGACGCTGCTATGCAGCAGACAAGCAGACGAGAAGGTCAACAACAATCTATGTGTTATCAACCACTGAAGCTGAGTACGTAGCTGCCTGCCAGGCTACCAAAGAAGCTGTATGGTTGACGTAACCATACAACTTCTGAATGATATTGGAGATCCAGTAAATGGTGCAACACCGTTGTATATTGATAACCAAAATGCCATCAAGTTGATACAAAAGCCTGAGTTCCACAGTCGTACGAAACATGTTGACATTCAGTCTGTTTGCACAAAGAAACAAGAAGCCGATATTTTCATAAAGAAACTGTAGGTTAGTCAAGTGTGTGATCCTTCCAATCCACTGCAAGCCAGACCTCTAACAATTTTCACTTCAAAAGTTACCAAATTGTTTTCTCCATATTTATCAAGAGACACAATAAAATGTCAGAGGGTGTTTTAAATATTTTCGTCTCTTATCCCGATCAGGGCTTAATTATCTGGAAAGTAGCCCTCTAATAAATGTCAGATGTTACCCCTTTAAAAGTTAAATTGAGAGCTTTTAGAAAAATAGTCAAACCTGGGATACCTACTTAATTTAGTTTACAATTTCCTAAGGAAATCAAGGTTTTAAAAAAACTTGGTGAAAATCTGGAAAAGTTCGACTGTCAGTCGAAAATTATGAATCTAAAACCGACGTTTCGATGTGTGGCATTATTTTCAAAGCCAGAATAAGTTCCTCGAGCTATTATTCGAGTGCCGAAAATTGCTGGATTCAGCACCCTTGATGCATTACCTGGTGGTGCTGCTGGTATTGCTAAAGCTGTATCTGATGGATTGGAAAGTTCAAATTAGAGGAAGCTAATAAGACTACATAGGAAAGAAATGAACCCAATCGAGCTTAAACGATATGCTAACAATATTGGATGATATCCACAACTTGGGATAATGTTGAAGCAGCAAATTTCCAAACCAAGTGTCAATGGAAAGAAAAGGAAGATGAACTAAATGGGTCCAAAAATGGTTATTGCCCAAATAAACTAAAAATGAAGATATAGTATAAGAAATGGCTGAAGCATGACTATAATTAACTTTAAAATATTTTTTCATATAAGACTTGTATCTACTTATTAATATTCAATGAAAATTATTTTACTTTATCTTTAATCTAATTAACTACAATTCGCGCCACCCTCCGCATAGTTGAACCAATAAATTTATGAAATGAGATAATTTCCAGCTCCAAGCAAAATTATTTCTTTACAAAAGATAACAACAAAAGATTGGTTCAAATAAAAAAATGGAAATTGAAAACAAAGGCGGTACCACTCATTCATCTTTCTCCGCTACCGTTTTCTTATGGAGAGTCATTAATTTCAATGCCACACTGGGTACTAGATTGTAAAAGAAGTACCTTTATTAGTGTAAAGGTGGGTACCTCTATGTTTATTAGTTGCCGATTTGGCTTGCTTGTCAGAAAATTACCAGCAGAACACAAAAGAGATTGTAATTTCGAATTTCACGCTGCCACGGCAATTGTTCTTCTTTTCCCTTTCAGTGTTTCCTAGTCTTTTTTTTTAGCTCGGGAATAAAAAAAATTGGGCCTAATAATTATTATGTCGAAAAAAAACTGCTCCTTAACCAGCGAAAAAGTAACCCGCAGTGTATAACAACTTTTAAAGTCCGATGTTCACTTTCCGCAATAAAAATTCTCCGGATTTTATTCTTTGATCCTTTTCTTTTTTGCAGGAAACGTTCCGTCTTCAGAAATTTCGCACAAAAATTCTTTTGGACCGTAAGCAGATGCTCTCGAATAGTCCGAATCGGTCGGTTTTATTTCATTTTTTTTTTCTCACTTTTGGGATATTTTACAACCCGACAATATAATATTCATTGGTAAATGGCATAAATATCGATCACAAATCAAAAATGACCTCATAGCAGCCATTAGTGATTACCCTCCTTAATTTGTGGGTATACGATTAGTCATTTAAACTACTGAGTAATTCTTTGTTTTAATAATGATGGCCTTAGTATTATTATAAGGTCATGTTTTTACCTGTGTCTGTGTTAATCCTAAACTAGCTGCCAATTCCGCCCGTTCCGGTAGTGCCAGGTACTGTGTACGTTGAAACCGTCGGTTTAACTGTTGCAGTTGAAGACTTGAATAAATTGTGCGTGGTTTTCTCATTTTCTTGCCTTTTCCTCCGCCCGAGGGCCTTTCCAACGATAAACATTTTTCTGGAACAAAATAAACAATATTTAGATCTTAGCTGCAAAATTCTGAAAACCACATTATACCCCTAGAACAACTCTATAGCATCATAGTATAAACTCATCCAGATTTTCCTATTAGACATAAAAAATTTATTATAGCAACATTTTTGCGTTTTCTATACTAAAGAGTCGATATTATAGCATAATACGAACGAGGAACCTATATAAGTATTTACGATCGTCATTAAAACATGGTGGAATTGATATAAGTTTAGCCTTTATGAAACTTATACGACCGACATAAACCTCACCTCTTTAATTGATTAATTATCACTGCAATTACTTAATTACTAAAGTGGTAATCAATTTCGTAATGTCTCTTTAACAGGTGATTGGGAAATAGGGCTCTTTTGTAACATTTGCCTTTGCTCTAGTTTGATGATCTCTTTCTGCTCTAGGTAAATTTTACTGTCATCTTTCTCTCGCATTCAATAAATATATGTTTTCAAGTAAACCCTTCACAAGATAATGATGGAAACAATCGTCCACCAAAGCCAGACCAAAAATGTATCAGCATTTTACCTTTATCTAAAAGGCGTGTCAAAAAACTACTCGAATGGCATTGGTCTGCTAAAAAAGCCAAACAGAAAGTACTGCAACAACCACAAAGAAAGTCTAATATAGTCTTTCAATATTTTCAGACTGTTATTTGTGACATTAAGGTCTGTTCTCACAGAAATCACAAACGAGTCAGAACATTTTTGATTGATGAAAATCGCCAACAACCAGAGTTTTCTGACTATTTTCAACCAATGAAATTTGCTCTGACTGGTTTTTGATTTGAGGTGAGAACAGACCTTTGCTTATGGTTATCCACATTGAAACGACAGGTTAATGCATGGTGAAATAAGCGACATCTACAAGACTATCAAGACCACAACACAGCACAACGGATAATACTAACCTCACTTTTTAGTTTCTATAGTTAAAGCTTCTATTATAAAGATAGAAGAAAGAATACTATTGTAGTTTTTAGTATCTAACCGTGCGTTCGGTAATTTGATCTGAGTTCTCCGAGCATGAATTTACCGTTCGTTTATTTAAAAAGTGTACTTGGTGCAGGCTCATTCACGTTCGTTTGAAGAAATTTTGAGCCCTCTGATACAGCGTTTAACTGCTCTGTGCGCTCGCTAGTCACGTGATTACGGCTCTGCTCTGCACGCTCTGCGCTTTGAGCAAAATACCGAACGCAAGGTAAGTAGCGACAGAGTAAATTTGTTTCAGATAAAATTAATGGTTTGAACGTTTTGACCAGAAGTACCAAGAGGCAAGGGGCGGTAAAACCCCCCGGTCTGTGAGGAATTGTATTTTTATCAATTGGTTATCAGAACAGTAGGAAATCGTTAACTTCAACAACCTGAAACCTTCCAGAAAGTTGAAATATGGCTACCAGAACCAATCATAGTTTCATCAAACCATGTTGGAAATTTGAAAGTCATGAGTAAAATTCCATTCCAAGGAAACTTCTATGTTGAAGCAAGCTTCAGATGTCAACTTGGAGCCGAATACGCTATTCCTAGAATGTTAATCAATCTAGCAGTTATTCCAATAATTAACCTATCTGGAAGAGATCTCACCTTGGGCAGTAAACATCCATTAGCCGTTCCTTGTGAATTAGATATTAGATATTAGCAATGTCTCTGAGCAAGTTCTAAGAGTGGACATTAACCAACTTCCATTATTGAAAGAAATAATAAGATATCAATAATGGAAAACCAATGTATTAAAGATCTTCAAGATTTCAAGGAAAATCACCATGACATTAACACCTCAATTGCAAAATGTTACTAATCATGAAAATCGGAAACCAAGATTCGGCAGGAGAGGAGAAACACACTCACAACACGAGGCCTTTCAGGTTGTAAGTCTACGAAAATAAGAAGATCCGATCTAAGAATAGGAACATGGAATGTTTGAACATTTCACGATGCGGGAAGATTGAACAACTTACGGCCATTTCCACCAACTATTTTAGGGAAGCCCTAACGATAGGAATGCCTTGAACTGACATTTCTCCATGTAAAAATGTCATTTTAGGGAATACTTATCGTTAGGGCTCCCCTAAAATAGTTGGTGGAAACGGCCATTACTGTTGGAAATGCAAATAATGGACATACAAATATTACGGGTGTATGAAACAAGATGGCCGGATGCAACCAGTTTCGACTCAGGAGATTATAAAATTTACACATTTGGAATGAGAGATGCATCACATATCTCATAGAAACGGAGTGGCTATAGTACTAAATAAATCCTTCAGTAGATCAGTGAGAAACTTTGTACCCTTGTCAGACCGAGTAATGCTACTACAGCTGGGCGATGATGTTGAAAAGTGTTATTTTATCTCACACTAAAATCTTTTTTATTTCTGTGTTGTTTACTGTTGTTAAGAAACGGAACAGTGGCCAGAAACGGAACAGAGCAAAAATTAGGTTAGGTTATGGTACCGTATGTCAAGTTGAAAGAAAAAAAGTGTACAATAATAAACGAATTTTGAGTAGTCTTTTTCTCTTGGAGCTTTTTGTACGATTTCGGTGTCGGAAAATAGAAATAAGTAGAAAAATTGTGTGCTTCATTTATTAAAAACAAGAGTTTATGAGCCCAGAGCGGTGGCGTTAAAGATACATTGAAAATCCGAGGTTTAAAAGTGATTTTGCTGGTGATTGGAAAGCAGGGAAAATGGCTGGTACAGCAGCAGGAAAAGGCTACTCAATTGAGCCATTAAATGGAAAAAATTTCCACAATTATTGAAAGTTCAGAATGGAGCTTATTCTGGCGGAAAATGGTGAGGCAGAAGTTGATCCAACAAAAGAAAATGAAGTTATAAAGGACAACGAAGCAAAATGCTTAATTGTTCAATGTGTTGATGACACACAATTGGAGCGCCTGAGAAACTGTGGATCAAGTTTTGAAATGTGGAATGTGCTGGTAGAAAAATATGAACGAAAAGGATTACCAGGTACCTTAAGAAAAAGTTGTTTTCTATGAAGCTGAAGGATAATGATTGCCTCATGAAACATATTGAGGATTTTGAGAACATTGTCAGACAATTGAAGGCTGCTAAAGCTGACATGAAAGATGACGACCTGATATGTAACTTGCTATTAAGCCTGTCAGCTTCTTATGAGACAGTTAATTGTCACTGAAAATATACCAAATATTCATAGCAAATATTTCATACAATGATGTTAAAGCAAAGCTTTTGGCTGAAAGTGATAGACGAAATTTGAACTCAAGAAAAGTTACTTCAGCAGCCAGTTCCAGTACAGTAGCTACTGATTTCAATGCACAGAAGACTTGTTATAAATATGGACTTGTTGGCCATTTCAAACCTGAGTGTCCTGGAAGAAATCAAGGTGGGGATCAGGTCAGAGTTGGCAGGGCCATCAAAATGAAGGTGGAGCTCGAAGTGGAGGTTATGCAAACAATAATAGAGGAGTTTTTCGAGGACGTGGATATCAAGGAACATATCGAGGAAGATTTCAAGGTAGGAATAGATATAGGAATTTTCGAGGAAACTTTCATAGTTATCAATATCATGCAGAAACTAATAGTGAAAATACAAATGAAAATAACAGTCAAGCTAACAGATATAATGTATTGAATCAGAATGACTCTTCAGTTGATAAAAGTGTATGTTTCATGGAGATTTAACTGACAACAAAAATATTGATACATTGAGTTTTTATGTAGGTCCTGGTTGCACCGACCATATGGTTAATAAAAAACATTTTTTTAAAAACTTACCTATGCTTGAAGAGCCAATAAAAATTGCAGTTGCTAAGGATACTAGTTATCTATTGGCCATTCGGGTTGGTGACATAGAAGTATATGGTATTGTTAACAATGAAAAGATCAGAAATGTGTTTTGTATTCCTAATTTGCGCAGAAACCTTTATATTTGGGTGCATGGCTTATATTTTAATTCCAAAACAATTCAGGGCAAAATTTGACTCTAAAACTAAACATTGTATTATGTTAGGGTATTCACCAGATGGTTATAGACTGTGGAATATTGCAGATAACAAATTGATTTTATCCAGGGATGTAGAGTTCGATGAAGATAAATTTTATTACAAGAATAGGTTGAAAGACATAGGTATAATAGGGGAAAGACGGGAAAACTTACAGAAAGATGAGGAAAACCAAGATGAGGATGAAATAGAAGAGCAGTCTGATTTGAGGTATATGAGAATGAGATTTCAGATAGTAATATAAATTCAGGAAAGCGACAAATAAAAATGCCATCCAGGTTCAGGGACTATGAATTATTCATGGCATTTAATGCAGGAATATTTGTGAATGATGTGTTTTCCAGAATTAAAGGATAGAGCTGATAAAAATTACTGATTAGATGGTGTAAATAGAGCGTTAGATTCAATAATAGAAAACCAGACATGGGAAAAAATAGATAGGCCTATGAATGTTAGAATTTTAGATACTAAGTGGGTGTTCACATACAAAAGTTTGGAAGATAATTTAGAAGATAGGTATAAGGCCAGACTTGCTGTTGGTTAGAGGTTTCATACAAGAAAAACATGTAGATTTTAAAAATATTTACTCTCCTGTAGCACGAATGTCAACCATTAGATTGTTGCTGGTAATAGGTTATCAGTATGAATACTATTTTGTGAAACTAGATGTTAAGACAGCATTTTTAAATGGATCTATTAATGAGGATGTATATATATTTGCACCTAGTGGTATAGAGGTTAAGTCAGGTGAAGTGCTTAAATTGAAAAAGTCTTTGTACGGTTTGAAGCAAAGTAGCAAATGTTGGAACGATAATATTAATAGTGAAAATGATTTTTGTTTGTATTATTTAGTGTGTGAAAATGTTTTGGATATAGTGTATTTACTAATTATTTTGTCAGGTCCTTCTTTACACAAAATCAATAATATCAAGGAAATTTTGATGTCACAATTTAAAATGAAAGACAAAGGTAATTTGAGTCACTTTCTTG